AAAGCCTTGACTTGAAAGATTATATTGAATCTGTTTGAAACCAAGCAAAAAGCCTTGGATGTTTTAGTGGTGGTGTTTACAACCTGGAAAAATGGTGCAACATGAAGAAGAAAAGGAATTAACATTAGAAATAATTATGCTAGAAAGTCAAAAACTAGAAATAAGTACAGAAAACATAGAAAAGAGATTGGAGATTATAGAACAAAGAATAGAAAGAATGGAGGGAAGAGGAGAATATTTACAAAACTATGATGAAATTTGAGGATAGAACTGAAGGAAAATATGAACAAAGTGATAAGAAAATTGTTGACACTGACAGCAAACTGAACGTGGTGGGAATTGATAGGAGTGGAATATTGAAAGGAGAGGTTGATGAAGTGTAACTTTATCTCAGACTTCAAAATATGGAAGAAGAAAAGGGAGGAAATCTGGCAGGAACAATGCGAAAAATTTTGGCAGAAGCACCAGTGATAACTTAAGGGAAGTTGATGGAAGGAACAGATGGAGGGTTTCGAGGCTTTATAAGATATGCAATGAACAACAAGTTGCCAAGATATGTTTACATAAGACTTTTCAAGAAAACAATTAGAATACAAATTCTACAATGGCAACATGCACTACTACTGGAAGAATACAGGATGATGAAATGAAATGTCATAATAAAAATTAAGTTAAACTTAGTTAAATTTTGAGTATTATGTATAGGACAAAGTAATAATANTGTGTGTGTGTGTTTGTCTGTGTGTGCACGTGTGTGCATGTGTGTGTTCAAAATAGAGTTGTACAGATGAACACATTGCCACAGCCACATTCTTAATTTTTTACACACCCCTCCTGACCTTGTGAACATTCCTGCTCATTAACTCTTCCTTTGTCAGGATCCTTGGTTTTAACAGTAGGAGCATCACAAATTTCTCCACAAATGGAATAAAAGAACCATTCATTTATTTTAAAACATCAAACAGAGGAGCACATGAAATTGTTCATTTCCACATGTGGGCAACTTTTAATCTCTTTCTCATTCCACTCATCCTCCAAAGGTTTGGTCTGATATGATATTGTATCCATCTCTTTTAATCATATAGAGGGATAATGTTCCACCACTATTGAAAGATCACCATGAACAGCACAAATATTTTTTTCCCATGGGCAAAGAGACCTTCATCCTTTGTGAGTCATGACATGTAAAGCAAAGCTCGTTCAGGTAAGCTCCTGAAACTGGACTAAGCTCTATTGCCTGAGGTTAAAATGTGTCTGGATATGAGTCATCATTCTTGGGATTGCAGTAGCAGCCAAGCACACTGAAAGAGTCTCTCCTACTATCATGCCACATGCAGGTTGCACACAGCCAGCCAGAGACAAGCTCCAAGCAGCACCCAGTCCAAAGAAGTGAAAGAGAGAGAGGGAGCATTACACATATGAGAGAGAGTACATGACAAGGAAAACTCTTGTCCTTTTGATGACATATGCAGACAGTTTTCCCAGTTTTCTGCTGTGAAGAATACCTTCCTATTTCAAAACAAATCAGCAAAGCAATCTCTTATAAAGGCTGAAAGCTACTAGTGCTATCCCTCCCAGGAGAAGATTGATTAGTTTCAGGGTAGGAGGCTAACATTTAACCCATTCCCAGGTGGGCAGCCAGTGAGAATGCCCTTGCCTGTGGCTGGGTAGATTTGTTCTTCTCTTTATGCTGCCAATCAGAAAACTCACAAGCAGAAATATTTAGGCTTAGCTCACATAGAGGAGATTACCTGGACCAGAACAGGCCAGAGCAACCATATTTGGAGGACAGAATACTATCACATTGCCTTCTATTAACCTTCCATTCATTATCAAAGGTCAAAGCAACCTCTGGTATGTTTTTCAGCTTTACTTCTGGAGCATTCTTTCCGTATGATGTCATCTCAAATGATCCCATTCGTTTTGGGTAGCACACTTCATTTTTTTATAACCTCAGTGATCCACTTCACAGAGCGACAATGACTATTCAATTGACTCTATGGTTGCTACAATTTCTAACAGCTTTTAGAGTTACCAGGAATGCTTAAAAAAAGCAGAATGATTACACTTTCCGTGTAAACAAAAGGGTGCTGGTTTGAAATATGACAGATTGTTTATTTTAAAATATATTGCTATGTTTTATTTCCCTGAGCTACTTAATTTTTGCTGTACCATCTGAGGTAGAAGACTTTTACATCAGCTTCCAAATATTTCATAGGATGTTACATCTACCTATACCCATACTAACACACACAGACTTACAAATGCAAAAGCATAAATCCAGTAAGATTAACCCACCGGAAGAAAAGTGATGGGTGCTTATTTTTGTGGAACAAAAAGGTAAGAGGACACAGCAAGAAAATTGTCCAATGGGAAGTAACCTGCTGCCTTGGCCAAATATCTGCTGTTGCTAAAATGTCTTAGTTAGAGTTAATGTTTCACCTGTATTGTATATTTTGGGTATGCTCAAAAAATGGCTACACATTTACCAGAAAATAAAATAGGTAAAGTTCTCTCCATTTCAACTATATCATGCTAGGAAGTAATCCATCATTTCATGTTTTCTTTGCCTTTTTTCCTGAGCAGATGGATATACTAAAGAATACTAAAGTGAAATCAATCACCATATCACTTTGGAGTTAGATGAAGAATACAGTATATTTGCAAAGCAAAGCACCAACTTTATATATGTTTATTCATTCAATTAAAGTAATAAGTAGGATTTATTTTCTGCTTTGCAGAACAGCTTGGCCAAAGAGGAAAAGGAAATAATTTTAACTAAAAAGATTAGAATCAGCTGACTATTGTTCTTGCAAACTAGCATGGACATCATATTTGCTACCAGCAAGATCTGTGACAGAATACTTTTACAACTTTAGTTATATAATAGAGGAAGAGCAGTATGTGCCATGTATTTTGCAGAAAAATAAATCCTACAGTCCTGAGGCTGACCTATGTAGGAAATAATCTCATTTTATTGTTGAAATTTGCTTAGATTCATACATGGTAGGGGCTTAATACTGCATTACAAAGTTATACATATTATTAGATTGAATTGTAACCTTGTTTACTCATCTTACTATTCTTTAATTCTAAGATTGTACTGACAAGAGACATCTGTTTTGTCATTTGCCTACTCCTTTGGCTGTTTATGTACCCATAAACAAATTCTGTATGAAATAGTTTTCCTACATTAAAAAAAAAACTACAACTGCTAAATTTCTGCATATGAGCAGATTTTAAAGATTCAGAAACCATCCATTATTATATAGATAAAATCACATCCTTTTGTTCAGTGTTAATTAATGCATGATAACATCCTTTTTTCACCCACACACTCAAAAGAATGTACTTAAAAAGAGAATGGCATGTATTTTTTAATCCGACAGTTATGTATCCTATTTAAATTGATAACGATATGTTATCCTTTGCAGAACAATTAGCACTTGGGGAAATAATTTATATGCTCCTTAATCCTACCCCAGTGCCAGTAAATATCTATTTATTACAATTTGATCCCAATCCTGGGTTCAGCTCCAGGCATTTTAGCTTCCTCAATTTCCAGCATCAAAATCAATTTGGCTGCAAAATGGAGACTGAAATTGTTTCATATATATTCATGGTTGCATATAGTATATCAGCTATTGCTTAGTTGTACTTGGAAGAGGAGATTGACCAATGTGTTTTAAAAAATTCTCTCTGACCTGAAACATATTTTCATCATTGTTCTCTTCCCACTACTATTACTTTCCTATCATCCAACCTGGGCATTCTTTGTTCATCCTATGTTCAAGAAACTCACTAGTCAGAATACAGTTAAAAATATTCTGCCTCCCAACCTCGCAAAGAGTGACAGAATCCTTCTCTCAAATCAGACAGTCATATTCTTGTTATATTTGGATCTCCCAATACTTCCTATCTGGAATGCTTTAGAAAAGCCATACATGGAATAATCAGAACTTAATCCAGGCCTAACACTTAGGACACAATATGCCAAACATCAGAAAGACCTGAAATCAGAATAAAGCCAGTGCAAGGATTAGCAATTAGGTGCTTTCAGGCAAGAATTTAATACCTTCATAAATGAAGTGGTGCTTCATTTATGAATTTTTAAAAGGAGTCTATACAACACCATTATCCATTTATAACAACACTACATGTTTCCACTGAATTTTCTGTATGTTTTCCACAATATTCCATTAGGGAATACAAGATGGAATAACTTCATCATATCGTCATTTATTTGTAATATAGGTAGTCCTCGACTTACGGCCAAAACTGAGCCCAAAATATCTGTTCCTAAGTCAGGTAGTTGTTAAGTAAGTTTTGTCCCATTTTACGACCTTTCTTGCCACAGTTATTAAGAGAATCACTGCAGTTGTCAAGTTAGTAACACGGTTGTTAAGTGAATCTGGCATCTCCACTGACTTTGCTTTTCAGAAAGTCACGAAAGGTGATCACGTGACTTCAGGACACTGCAACTGTCATAAATGTGAGTCAGTTGCCAAGCATCTGAATTTTGATCATGTGATCATGAGACTTCTGCCATGGTCGTAAGTGTGAAAAACAGTCATAAATCACTTTTTCAGTGCCATTGTAACTTCAAATGGTCATTAAACAATTTGTTGTAAGTTGAGGACTGCATGTACTAGCTGTGGTCCATCAGAAAGTAACCCAGGACTGCAGGGTATATAACCAACTCTTGTCTGCCCTGATTACATGAACCTAATTTTAGTTTTTAAATTTTTTGCTTTTCTTATTTTCATTTCTTTTCGTTTATATATAAAGCACATGTAAACCCAATGGTCATCCGTGGATTGGACAAATTTATTAAGCATTTCATTAACAAAGTGCAATAAAATATCCTTTTGAAAAGAAATCATTCTTGACATTTTTTTTTAATTTTGGCTCTTTGCTGTGCAATGCAATCCTAGAAATATAGGAAAAAAATTCAATTCCCATCTCTGCCTAGGACTTATCTCTCAGGCTTTAGCTCTTACCGGATAGGAATCTTGACCCGGAGATAGCGATCCACGGCAATAGCCAATAATGCCAAAATGGAGCTTTCTGTGAGGATGAGGAGAGGACAGATCAACATCAGGCACTGGTAGAAATTCATGCTTGGTCCTCGGGAGATTGTGATGGCCAGAGGAACTGCAAATGTTCCAACAGCTGCGTCTGCCACTGCCAGAGACCCAATAAAGTAGAAGGTAGCATCCCGGAGAGACTTGTTCACTTTGACAGCCCAGATTACCAGGATATTCCCGGGGATGGATACAAGGGCAATCAGCACCTCTATGAAGATATAAACAATATCCAATGGGTTGAACTCTGACATGATGTCCTGATGCGCACTAGCTGCAGGCCCTTAAATTACCTGAAATGATTAATGTAGACATAAGATATGGTCAACAATAGCTGCTACAGAATTTCAAGCTATCCAGTTACTTTATAGAGTGTGGCACCAAAATATGAACAAATATACACATTTTTCACAATCTGTGTTTACAAGCAAATTTTACAAGGCCAAAGAGTTTCTGGTGCAGGGAAAGTCTGTTATTTTAAATCCTTTAAATCCTTTTTACAGCATTTTGTTTAAGCAGCCTTTCTCCAATTTGACACCAGGAATGTCACATTATAAATACGTAATATGAGTCAANTGTCAGAAATGGTGTAGGGTCTCCTGCTTGGGCAGGGGGTTGGACTATAAGACCACCAAGCTCCCTTCCAATTCTGTTATTCTGTTCTGTTCTGTGTCTTGAAGGGGTTATTTGCTCTGCCAAGGTGAGAACAGGCTACCAACCATTCAGTGGAGCAAGAACCATGGACATCCACAAAACTTTGCTACTTTAATCAGAACAACAAAAATAGAGTGTCAGCATTGTTCTGAAAACACTGCTCCTTTCATATGTGCAGATGAGATCACAGCATCAATGAGCATACATAGTTTTTTTTTTCATTCTGTCTCCCTTGGCCCCTCCCTAAGTTGTCACAGGGAGAAACAGAGATTATTGTCTTTTACTCACTTCCATCCCATTACAAATGTGACTTCTTTCTGGCTTTTTAAAATTCTGAGTTGAAAGTAGTATTTGCCAGCTTGTGCAGGCTCAAGCATTGTTGCCTGGCTTTGCCCCCTGTCCTTTATTTTCTTCTAGGCCAGGGGTGTCCAAACTTGGAAACTTAAAGACTTGTGGACTTCAACTCCCAGATTTCCCCAGCCAGCCATGCAGTTTGTATAATAAGTCTTTCTTACTAGCTTACTGAAACAGGTAGAAGTGGTGGACCTAAGAAATGGGTTTGGGAGTGATCCAGGAGAATGTTCATTCATTCAATTTTTATTCCACCTTTATTGCTTTATAAGTAGCTGAAGGCAGCAAACATACATAACACTCCTTCCTCCCATTTTACCCAGTACCACAATTCTATGAGGTGAGCTGGCCTGAGAGACAGTACAGTAACTAGCACAAAGTCACCTAGCTGGGTTTTCATGGTTAAGGCAAGCCTAGAACTCACAGCCTTCTGATTTCTAGGCCAGCACCTTAACCACCATACCAAACTGGCTTAATGAAGTCATCTTTCCCTTTTTAGTTCCCAGATTTTGTCTTCTCCTTCCCTGAGATACAGTAGGTACTCATTTAGGTAGAGTTGGATGAGATAATTTCTTTGGGGAGGAAATTACTTTTTAATTTGTTCTTCCTATATTGAAGTCCATACAATTCCTACTACTAGCACAAGGTGAAGAAATTATGCTACAGATGATATTGAAGCTAAAGCAACATCAGCAAAGAACAAGCAAGACTAGTAAGCCTCCCAACCTCACTTTCCCAGGAAGATCCCTGAAAAAAAAACAGCCCCCCCCCCCCTATCAAATTGGTATTTTTCCCAGAAATCCATGATCGTATATTTGCTGTTCATTAGCTGTTTGTGGTCTTCCACCTAGCTCCAATATCTATAGACCTAAACCTCATACATTTGTAATATGGAGAAGAAGATGGTTTCAAGCAAACACATCAGCCTTAGCAGGCGTGACCCGTCAAAACCGCGCTCGACTAAACCACGCCCGATTAAACTGTGTCGCTGACGTCATCAACAGGGCGACAACAGCCAGCGCAGAGAAAGAAGGGCGCTTTAAATAGCGCTTTGAAAGCAAGCCGATTCAACTTAAGGTAATGGTTAGGTTTAGGGTTAGCTTTAGGGTTAGCTTTAGGGTTAGGTTAAGGGTTAGGGTTAGGGTTAGGGTTAGGGTTAGGGTTAGGGTTAGGGTTAGGGTTAGGTTAAGGGTTAGGGTTAGGTTTTTCGTTAGGTTAAGGGTTAGGTTTAGGGTTAGGTTAAGGGTTAGGTTTAGGATTAGGTTTAGGGGGGTTAGGTTTAGGTTTAGGGGTTAATTTTAGGTTTAGGGTTTACAGCGTGCTTCTGTCTCCGCGCTGTTGTCGCCCTGTTGATGACATCAGCGACCGGTTTAGTCGGACGCAGTTTAGTCGGGCGCGGTTTTGTGGTGGAACCCTTAGCAGGCGCTATAAAAACTTGACAATAATAGGTATTTTTTTGCATAAGAGACAACTGAGTGATAATTCTATGAACAGAAGAAAGATTCCAGAAACAAGAGTTACACAAAGTGTATTATGGAATTGCATCTAAACTGACGTGTCTCACAGGGTTCTCTGGCTACAACCTGGGTAGACAAAGGCAACAAAACATTTTTCTTGGCAGCAGATTGAGGAGTGTTTGATATCATTTAAAACATTAGTTATGAAAGGTTGTAGTAGTGCACATTAACTTGAAGTGAGGAAAGATGACATACAAGCTATCTTGACCCATTTATTTTAAAATTTACAATAAGATAGTAGCCCTAATTCTTTCTCAGACGTATCAGGATTCCTATAGCCTAACCAGCCAGAGATCATTAGGTCTGAAGTTAGGGTGGAAACACGTTGGCATTTTTGTAATGTCTCCTGAATGCTGTTTAAAAAATGCAGAAAGAACAATTTAGAATTGATTTTTTTTAAAAGTAGCAACGGCACAGAATAAGATTTGCAGAAGTAAGTCAGAAACCATAGCTGCTGCTAGATTAGATAGTAAGTTTCAGTTCCAGGAACATTAAGCCATGCATGGACTTCCTTTCTTAATCACAATGTAGAGGAGAATGAATATATATTCAAGGGAAGTGGGATATTTGGATTTTAGATAATTTTAAGCTGTTCTCAGAATCATCTTGTAAAATGATATCTCATCCAAACATATTTTATAAAATGATTCTAAGAACATCCCCTCTCCCTTCACCCCCACCTCACCTCTCTTTGGTACATGCTAAACTGACCTCCTTAAAGGAAAGGAGAGCTATAGATCTACCACATTTCTTTAAAAAATAAATACTTGTCCAGTGCTGAATCCAACATTCAAGTACACCTGTTTTACAATTCTAATTTGCATGGTTTACCACTGTACTTATGAGATACAATCTGGAGTTTCTTTGCTCCCTTTTCCAATAATTTCCAAAGATAAATAGCATTAAAATAATCTAAATATTTAATCATATTTGCACCACTGAATATTTCAAAAAGCATTTATGTCTATCTCTATTAGTAAATACTTGGAGATTATATGAAAAAAAATATGATTGTTAAATCATATTTAAAATCCATAGCAGAAACAACAATAAGAGACATATGGTTAGCCACCCTTTATATCAGTACTGTTGGGAATACAGCAATGGAAAAATAGCAGATGGCCAACCTTAACTAATATTAGGATGGGGCCTGTTTCAGAGGCTACCATATTAGAGGTTCCATATTAGAACTGGAATTCATACTAAAGAAAGACAAACTTTAAAAGTTAAGACAATGGCAAACACTTCTGTTGTTCGGAAAACAACATGGGCATGGGCATGTAACCAACTCTTATTCAATTCAGTTGAAATGAATCTTTATATTGACAATTATTTAAGTAATAAGATGTGATACTGCCGGAGGCGGGGATTGACATCGCGATTACACGACATGCAATCTTGGAGCTCCAGGATTGCTGTCGATATCTCTGCTGCTGGATGGTCCTTCTGGACCTAAACTGTTCCGTAGAGATGGTGATAGAGAAGGGCACATCCTGCTGATCTCAGGGACATCGCAAAGTCCCTGATTGATCCAGGAGACACCCTTTTTTCCCCTAAATGGAAGAAAAGCAGGATAGAGGGTGTGTCGAAATGGGGAGATAAATTTTACTATTAGAGAACACCCAAAAAGACTTAGAGTAAAATTAAAATTGTAGATAGAAGAAAGCAAGTGGCTAATTAAGCCTGGATTAATATTAGTGTGTTATCTCGTGACCCGTCAAAACCGCGTTCCACAAAAGCGCGGTCGACGAAATCACGTATGTGACGTCATCACAACGCGATGAAAAAGATCGAAAAATTGAANCCTCTCTCCTACTCTTACATTCCCTCCAATTCTTCCTCTGCTTTTCCCTCTCTCCTATTCCTCTTTCTCCTCTCCTTCCTATCTTTCCTTCTACTCCTCCCGCCATCCTCTCTATCCGTTGTTGTGTTTACATATTTTCCTCTTCAGGGGGTGACCTGATTCTTTTTTTTCCTAATTGAAAGTTATACACAATCTTAAGGGTTCATAACAACAGTGAAACCTTCCTTGATGAGCTCACCCTTCTTGAATGCATGCACGTATATTGAAATCTGCAATACTGTGACTTGTTGTATTTTTCATTCACTTTACAAAATTGTTACCTCTTTGCCTTCAAGAGCAAGGAAATTCCAAAATGCAATAACTCCTTGGAAGGACTTCTTCATATGTCTGTTTACCTGAGAAAAAGCCACACTCAGAAAACAATGAGGGACTGGGGCATACAGGCTTATCTCCAGTGGTGGGTTGCAGGCGGTACACTCCAGTACAGGCGTACTGGAGCCAGACTGGAGCACTGGATACCGTTCCAGTACGGTGCTCCGGAGGGCCCACCTGCCTGCCCTCACTCCTTACCTGTGTTTTAAAGCTTCTGCGCTGCCGCGCACATGCATGAAACAACTGGAGCATTGTGGAGGCGTTAAGACGTATGTGCGCACGCTGTGCAGGTCCATGAGGACGGCGTCAGCCCCGTTCTAACCGTACCAGTTGGAACGGGATTTGAAACCTACCACTGCTTATCTCCCAACAGTTTCTTTACCAATCTGATCCCTCCTTAATTGCATTTTGATGATGCTTCTGTTATTTTGGTATCATAATCCCAAATACGTCATTGTGATGTCAGTGGTAGGATTCAGCCAGTTCTCACCTATTCGGGAAAACCAGTTGTTAACTTTCTAAGCAGTTCGGAGAACCAGTTGTTGGAAGAAATCTCATTTTACTTTTTTCCACTTTACAGGGCTAATCCTGTAAAGAAAGCAGGAAGGAAACATTCTGCTTTTGTTTCTAGCCTAATCTTTATTGCCCTGCTTACAGAAACTGCCTCTCCAGTTAACCGTTATTACATTGTAACAGCTAAGGCAAAGCGCCCATCGATGTGAATGACATTGAGTTGGCCACTCCTACCCAGTCACATGACCACCGAGCCACGCCTACCCAGCTGGTCATTAGGGCAGAGAACTGGTT